CCCCAAAACCCCAAAACCCCAAAACCCCAAAACCCCTATTTAAAATATAAATATTGAAAGATGAAATTATCAAGCGGCTTCAAGACTAAAACTCAAGAAGAAGAATACAATAAAAATTTGTATGGAATTATATTCTTGATGCAGTATACCATTTCCAAAATCATAACGGGTTCAAATAAATCAGAGATAAGTATCAGCGAACTTTTTGACGAGAGTTTATTCATCCAACATTTCAGAGCATTATATTCTAAACTATCAAGTATTGAGAAAGGGAAAAAGAGTCCTCCAAAGTTCTCCTTTGCATTCCAAAATATTCGTAATAAGATAAAAGAAAAGACATTTGGGAAGACTAGTGCAAGACTCTCTTCTGGAAGTAGAAGTTCAAAATACCCTGAAATTTCTCAAGAAAAGTATGCGAGCAATAGTAGAGAAAGGAAGCCAAGCATGATTAATCCTAATAGTTCTGGGTTCCTTAAACAAGCTCCTGCTGTGGATATTTCCAAGAAAAATAAAAGGAAGATACACGAAGGATATATGAATCAGTCCACTGAGTTGCCGATGAGTAGTAATGGACATTATTCTAACATGGATATTATCATTGAGTCTGAGGGTCCAGAAGAGAACATGTCTAGCACAAGTACACCAAAAGGCTCATTCTGGGGTAATAAGAGTCATGAAACTATTGATCAAAGAAAAGTAAGGAAGAGCACTCGCAACACACAAAAATTCTTTCTTCCAAAATCAAAAATAGGAAAGATGCCTCAGATAAAGAATAATTATAGAAAAGTAAGTGGGAAATCAGTTAACTTCTAGAATAATTTAGCAAATAATCATTTCAGTATTCCTTCATCTGACTCAATGATCAGACCTGAGCTTGAATACTCCACCATGAGTGAAGATAACGGCTATTTTCCTTCAGGCGTTGGATCAATAAGAAATGAAAATTTAGGTATAATAGCTATTTCATACCCATAGATTATATCAGCAGGAGTAGTAACTCAAGATCAGGACCCAGAAAGCCAAAGGTAAAGGGGTATATGGAAAAGAGTATATCCGCTACCAAAATCCTTGGCAAAAAGAGGCAAAGCAAAGGGATGATGCCTGAGCTAAGACAAACACCTACTTCCAAGCTCAGCCAGTACAATGATGCTAGTTCAGTCTCTCAAAGCTCTATATCAAAATACGACATGAATAAGAGGTAAGCTAGCCAATTAAATATGTAGTCAGCACATTCTGAACAAAGTGGCAAAATATTTGTAATTCAATGCCTTCTAATCTGATAGGGGTTTTGGGGTTTTGGGGTTTTGGGGTTTTGGGG